CCGGCCGCTCACCCGCGCAGGTGGCGGTGCCGCAAATGCACCGCATCCCCAACAACAAAACAAACCACGTGGGCTTGGGACATTCCTTCCTTCCCATGACACGGTCGCCGGTCCTTTGAAAAAAGGAGGGTTTGCGACACGCCGTGACCCTGCCCCACAGGGAAGTCAGGGCCACCGACCCACTGACTGGGTCTCCAGCAGGCCCGGCCTGTGGTTACGCGGGGGAGGGCTTAGGAGAAGCTGTCGGGGCCGATCGCTGCTTCCCTGGGGTTCTGTCCTCCCACCGCCCTCTCCTCCACCCCACACGAACCTGCCGTGCCAGGGGTCGCTGTCCTGGGTGTCTACGGGGCTACTCCTCCCTTGAGGGGCTGCCAGCAGGAGGGCTTAAAGGGTTGAGCCCTGGGCGTGCTGCGTCGTTTATCCTCCAGCGTCTAACTGTGAGCGAGCTCCGCCCGCCTTCCCTTTCGCTGCGGCTGGGCGGGCGGCTCAGGTTAGAACGTATATTCTCACGGAGAGATCCAGACGCAACTCTAGTGTTAGTGTATCTGTCTGCACATTTGGGTCAGCGTGTCTTCCAAATGTTCGCGTGCCTCAGGAAGTCGGTCCTCAAGGAGTAAGCAGTAAGGAAATACCCACAATATCTACCCGGCACAGAAAGAGGTTTCACCCATGGAAATCTGTGAGCTTCCTGTATTCACAGCAAGCAGGTCAACCTCTCTGCTGTTTTAACCGCTTTGAGATTCCAAAACTGTGACTGATGGAGAATGGGCAGAGGGTGTGTTGGTGGGAGATGTGATACTAATACTAATTAATAAACATGCTTTAGGGTCCCTTCCTCCGCCTCCTTTTTTTCCCCAAGTAAGCTGGCATGTTTGATCAACACCAGATTTGCTGCCTGGAAGTTTTTTATTTTGTTGTTCTGAACAAGGACCTCGATTCTTCTTAGGAATAAGAGAACCTCTCTGTTGGGTATACAGTATTCAGTTGGTCTGTGAAAACACAAACTCCACTCAAGTCTCCAGACTTGTTTACACAGAAAACTGAACCTGTGGCTGGCTTGGAGTCTGAAGCCTATTCTGGGCATTGTTTACTGCAATCTTCCCAGGCGCTCCTCCCCCCACCCACAACCAGCCTCACATATACCTTGAGAACAGGGCCTTTCTTGGGGTGAAAGGGGGTTTGGCACAGGACGGGGTGACCACAACAGTAGGTCACACTGCTGAGCATGGGCATGTTTAATTTGATAAAGAGGCCTCATGAAACGGTTGGTAAAATAGTAAAATTATCTTGGTCTCCAGCAAACTTCAGACAGCTGTGGTTGCTGTGCTGTGGTTCTGAGCATGCCCTGTCGGCCCCGGTTCTTCAGGCTACAGGCTCTGTGTGCCTGGCCAGAACCAACCACCACTGGGTGGCAAGTCCCTCTCCACTCCCAGGTCTGATGTATTGGGTGCCTACTCAGCCATAATGAGCCTCACTTTGTACAGTGAATGTGCTGAGACATCAAGAAGTATTTAAAAGAAAGTTTCCTGCTTTTTCCTAATGAGCAAGGTGAGGATTTATGGTGTGTGGGAGGGGCCGCGAGGGCCAGCACGTAGCAGGTCTGTTTAACACACTGGAGCTTCAGCTCCCTCCTGCATTTAGGGGGTTCAGAGCGCAGCGTCGCGGGAGTATAGAAACATGCAGTTAGGGAGTGAAAAAACGCCATTTGGTTCGGAGCAGATGGCTGGCTAGGGGGCTGATGGCGTCTAAAGGCGTGTCATCCCCCTTCAGCCTGAATCCCTAGGGCTCCTCTTGTCTTCCCAATCAATGAAAATTAAAGTGCGAAGAAAGGGTGAATAGTCGGACCTCGAGTCTCTCCTTTGTCCATCGCAGCTACTGGTCCGCAGGAGTTAAAGTACAACAGGCTGCCAGAGGGACACC